ATAAAGTTTACAACTCATCTCTGGTGTTTCAAGTTGCAACTACGGTCACTCCCGGGGGATAGGGACTTTAAGGGGCATGAGGGGGGCTTTTAGGGGGGCTGGTATATTCTATTTCTTGCTCTGGTGCTGGTTACATTGTGGAAATCTACTGGGCTATATCTTTAAAATGGGGATAGTTTTCTGTATGTGTGTGATACTGCAATAAAAAGTTCATTCAAAGGGGCGCCTGGGTGGCTCAGTCATTAAGTGTCTGCCTCAGCTCAGGTCATGATCCCAGGGTCCTGGGATCGAGCCCCGCATTGGGCTCCCTGCTCGGCCGGAAGCCTGCTTCTCCCTCTCCCACCCCCACCCTGCCTGTGTTCCCTCACTCACTGTCTCTCTCTTTGTCAAACAAATAAATAAAATCTTAAAAAAAAAGTTCATTTGAAGATGTGCTATGGACACAAGGGAAAATGCATTTATGGCATAAGGAAACTCCTCCCCACCGACATTGGTGAGTGGTTCCTCTGAAATACGAGCCACGCCTGTAATCAGTAGGCCAAACATTCCCAGAGATAGCCATGTTCCAAGAGAGTGGCTGCTGGAAGCACCTGCAACTGCCTCATCTCCCTTCCTTTCCATTCCACCTACACCTAGCTCTTCAATCCCCCAGGCTCCTGTGATGCGCACCCTAACACCAGCTTCTCCCCTCATCTCCATCGGCATTACTGAACATCATCCGGAAACTTTTATCGATCGCCTTCTGTATACGGTGCGTGGTTTACAACCCCTGGGGTGCTAAGAAGTATAGGACGCAGAACCCACCCGAGGGCTTGTAAGTATGTCTGTATAAAACATGTATCGCTATGTGTATTTTATTTGAAATAGGTACATTTTTTACATGCATATTTTGCAAATATAAAGTAATGTAGGTTATGCTAGGCATCAAAAAAGATGATAAAAATACCAAATGCCATTTGGATTTAGATGCGGACATTCTCGGGGAAGACAATCTTTCAAAAGGCTAGCAAAGGAGAGCCATCCAGGTATAACGTGTCTCCTGGTGAGGTGTGGCGTGTAAAACCCAACATCATCTGGAATGTACTGCGGTCACAGTGCTTCATTTATCAAGGCCTTAGAACGAAACGCCAGTTTGCAGGATGTAGAGGCTAGAGAATTAGGTAATTGACACCACAAGGCACAGACCAGACAAATAATGCAGGACATTCTGCAGGGTAAGAGGCTGGGTTTATTTCAAGCAGTGAAGGTCATAAAGAAATGACTCTTTTAGGTCAAAGAGAAGTGAGGCCATGGTCACCATACGCAGCACAACCTGGTGGACTGGATTCTGGTTTGAACCACCTGCTGCAAAGGACATTTTGGAAACAACAGAAAACATCTGAATGTGGGCTGGGTAAGGATGATACCTCCAGAGATGTAAGGACTGTGGGGCAGGAGAGGGTGAGGGAAGGGCCGGGAGAGTGGGGGAAGGAGAGTCAGGACCGGGCCAAGGGAGCATGGCGCGAGGGCAGCGGGAGGTGGGGAGAAGGCTAGGGCAAGGGTCAAGGACAGGTCCAGCCAGGGGACAAAGGGAGGACCAGGGCGGGCAAGGAGCACTGGCAGCCAGTGATGGTGGCAGGGATTCTGCCGGCCTGGAGGCCCTTGGTTTTAAGAAAGCAGGCTCCTGGGGGGTTCTTCAGATGGTGGGCACCCAGGTCCACCTTGCCCTTCCCCTTGGGGACAGCCACCTGACTCCTCATCAACGGCAGAAGGATTCCCCTCCTGGCGTCTCCCACCCTCTGGAAGCAGAGATTCTGGCCTCTGTCTCACCGGGTGGTGTTTCGGTGTTTCTGTCCGCCCGGCTGTCTGACCTACCCCTGGACTCATCCCCACGGAAGGCTGGCAACCCAGGTCCCTCTACTTCCCTAAAGGTGACTCTGGAGCTCCCCTCCCTTCCCCAGGGCCACCAAGGCCTCCCTGGGAGGCTCAACCTCTGGCCAACATGGTCATTTCTTTTACCTCCTCCTCATGTCCCTTTCCCCTCCCTTCTCCCCTTCTTTCTTCCTACTACTTTCTTGCCACTTACTAACCTTAGCAATGCCTTAACCACTCTGTGCCTCAGTTTCCACAGCTGTGTCACAGGGATAACAACAGTAGCTGCTTCACTGAGTTATGGGGATTAAATGAGTTTCTGTTTGAACTGCTTAGACCGGCACCAGCACAGAGTAATTGCTAGGGGTCCATTAGCATAATTATGCTTCACTTTTTTCTGTGTTTTGGCTTGCCAGGGCCCAAGGGCACAGCCTCCCCAGCCCAAGACACCTGGTCCTTCTGTGGCTTAATAATTGACCGCAGCAGAGGAGCCTAGAGACTCAGCAAAGGCCCAAATTTAAGGACCGTTCAAGTCTTTCCATGTCCTGGGGGGTAAAGGCTTGAAAACAGAAGCTGGAGTCCTAACTGAATTATTCAGTTAAACATCACCCTGTTTATGGGACAAAGTTCTCATGAGTTTTATGACTCTGTGGAAAATATTTCAGAGTACAAATATCCATTTAAGAATCAAGACTGGTGTTTTTCCAGATGGCAAACAGCTTGAAGATGTGCTTCCAACTCTGCCAGGTTTACTTGTAAGGACACTAATTATCTTATTAGAAATAGGTCCCTTTTTAGAATTATGATCAGCTTGCCTTTTTTTTTTTTTAATTCTGGGAAAAGAGCATATGCATATTTCATCCCTGGCCAATGGAAAACTTGGGCTTTTCCAGAGCAGAAACACCCTAACCCACTGAGCATTACTCCCTAGTCACATTCCCCTCCCATCAGAAGCACACAGGGTGAAATTGCATTTGGATTTTGAGTGGGTTTAAATAAATGTTGTTCTGAGAATTTTGCAGACCAAGCCGGGCAGCTGCGGTGAAGCTTGGGGCTCGGCTTCCAGTTGCACTTGCCAGGGGAAATTTCATGTTCTGTCTTCCAGGCAGAAGGGCTGGATTTCATGCAGCTAAAGCCAAGGGAGGATATAACAGCATTTCAAACACTCCAGTCAAATCTGAAGAAAAAACTCTATGAATTATCTGTGTTTTTGGACTCGAGGTCAGAGAACAGGGTAGGAGGAAGGAGGAGGGAGTGGCCTTGAATGCCAAAGCCATAATGGCCCAAAAGATGATAAATGGCATTGTGAACTTTTGAGGTGTCCTCAGCTTGCCGCAGACATGCTGGGCAGCAGGACCAGAGAAAATTTCCCTTTTGACACCTGAATTCTCCAAAGCCGGGCTGCCTATGTAGCCGCTCTGCTCAGTGAGTCACTGAACATCTTTAAGATTTTGGTACAACTAACCATCAGTTTCCCAGGGAGAAATTTAAAAGGGCTAATGGCCACAGAGAGCCTCTACGGGCCTAAGGGGAGATAAAAGGAGTCGTTGACACCACCCAAGATGGGTGATGGAGTGTCCCTGCAGGAGGCAGGAGGCGAAGGGGCTCCTCCCTGGCCTCCCCTAAGGCCAGTGAATCAAGGCTGTAAACATCTGTTGCAAGTAGATGCCACTAGTGTTTTATGGTGCATCTCAAAACAGACTGTGATGTTCTCTGGCCTCCGGAACCTTCCCAAGCCCCCAGGGAAGGCCCCCTTGTACAGAGGGAGGCTACCAACCTCGCTAGCAGAGAACCAAACTGGCTCTTCATTAGTTGTATTAATGAAATGTATACTCTAGAACCACACTAATACACAACTAGCCACTAAGAACATACAGTAATTTATAATATATTTATGTGCTTTGAAGTGGTCAATAGCCATGTGTGGCTGGTGGCTACCATATTGGACAGCACAGATACAGAACTTTCCTATCATCGCAGAAAGTTCTGTTGCACAGTGCTGCTTGACAGTATCCTTAAGGAGCCAGCCACCTTTTTCACATCATTCACCCATTCCACAAATGGTTCTGGCCCCTTATACTTACAATGCTTGCTGCTATCGTATTAATATGTTAACATGAGATATTGATATTTAGATAGGAACAAGGGACTTGCATCCAAAATTAAGACCTGTCTGTGCTGTACAATGTTCCAAAGCTTCTGATGATTTAAAGTGTGTACCTTCTAAATTAAGACTGATGTCTCTTCTGCAGATGTTTGCTGGCATTTCAAGGATTGCAAATAATGTAGAATCCAAACTCTGTTCCTGACTCTCCTAATTCTTGGAGAGAAAACTGCTCGACAACCAAGACACGGTGCTGTCAATTCCCCCTGCCAGCTTCGGCTGGGATCAAGAAATCTGGTGTTACATTTCACTTAGGAATCCTGCTGACTGGTAGCCCTCGGGATCCTTACATGCTGGCATGTTGGCCCCACTCCCCAGACTGCCTCCCAGCTTTGATACACCCTAGTGACTCAACTTGCCATTGTGTTAACCCCAAACCCTTTCTTTGCCTAACACACTTTCCTGCTGTGGGCACACCCTCTCTCTGCCTTAGAAGAGCGGCCATCAATAGGGCTACTCCATGCAGCCACCCCCAGAGAGAACTCATTACTGAGGAGGGGGCACTGGGTGCCATGAGACCAGAGACAGTGTGTGTCTCTACAGAGCTTATAGAAATGAGGCAGTTCGATTCACTTCTCTGGGGTTAATTCCAAGGTGCTTCTACTGCTACTTCCAACAATAATAGTGTCTACAAACAATTTGCACTTTTGGAGCGGCATGATCCCAGGGGATAATTAACAAGCGGGAAATCATCTTTTTTTTAAAAGGCTCTAAAAGCAACATGGATTTGAGGCCACCATCAAAAACACAGAATCGCTTCCCTTTCGCTGTCATTTTAGAAGATACCTGGCTGACTCCCAGAAAGGTTCAGGGAGCACAGGTGATGGGTTTTGTGGACAATTCCTCCAAATGTGTTAAGTAGGAATCAAATGCAGCGAGTTTATCAGCTGCGGAGCTTTCTGAACGGGGCAGGCTCCGAAGACGGGCTAAGATAAAAAGAGAAGCAGAGTTGGTGAGGGCTGCCCAAGGTTTGTAACTTGCATACCATTGACCATGCCAAGGTAGAAGACCGCATTCACCAGCATGCCTCCTTTCCGGAAGTGGTCACTCATGTGCTCCAACCAGTTGGCGTCCAAACCGCTCACCGTCTGGCCGTTCTTGGAGACCCGGAGAGGAATGCTGACGGGATAGTATTGCCGGCACTTCTGATGGCTCTTCGGTTTGTTGAAAAGGGCGAGGATCTCTATTTCTGTTGGGATTTGTAAAGGAAGTGGGAGAGAAGAGGTCAAACAGTGATAAAAACCTGCTCCTTGGGTCTAGTGGAACCTCTTAGGAGCTTGGAGAAATGCTATCAAAGGTAAACTCTCTGTTAGGGTGCACTGTTGCCGAATAATAAAACCTGATTCCAGGTTGTAAGTTAGGGAGCCTTGAAAGGGAAATGGACGTCAAAGGTTGAGCTTCCAGTGGGGCACGTGGGTTTTGAATCTGGCATATGATGATGAACAGCTGCTATCTGGGATCAGTTTGTACAGTCAGGTGTTTGTGAAGACATTGTAGACATTTCTAGAAACTCATACAAAGGTGTTTTTGGGGGGAAAAGTGGACATATTTGGGTAAGAGCTGGTCTTTTTAAAAAAGGTGCATATATAGAGGCACATAAAAATAAAAATACTGCTTTAATTCCAGGAACCTTGTACACCCCTGAACTCACTATTTATAAACTGCAGCGGTGTTTCCTGGGGCCGAAACCACAATACTTAATCAAGTACATCAAAAACACACCATTGATATGTAAAAATAGTATGTTCCCGTAAATGGGGGTTCCTGCCTGGAGTGGTAGGTAGATGGCACCGGGAGTGGAGCTCTGAGCTTTTCCTTCCTTCGTTTATAGCTCAGTTCTTCAAAAATCAATACTCACTACCACCCGGCAGCTGACCCGCGCCAGCCGTACGTGCTGCTGGCCTCGAGTGAGCAGCATTGGCCTCGAGAAACAAATACCTGGATTTTCAATCTGAGTCTTAAAGGTCTATTTTTGTGTTACTCATTTAGTCAAGCAATCAGACTTTACCCAGCTTAAAAAGCTTTGCTCACACAGGCTAGTCAGGAATATGCTTTGGTTTCCAAAAATATCTATTGGAATAATAAGAAAATCCCCACCCTTCTTTCAAAGAAATATTTTAAAGGTCGTAAACAATGGTTGACATTAGCAAAAAGGACACAGCACACTGATGCTCCCTGCAGGAGAGACCGGGCCTCGTCCCACATTCTGGGACGCGGTCTCCCATACTTCAGTATCTCACAATTTTGCAGTATCCAAACATTAGCTGAATTATTATTCTTTTAAGCACAATCACTTTCCTTTAGTTAAATAAATGAATTTAAAATGGAAACTTCGCTTCATGACCAAACAGCTACCACTTGCTATAAACAGAAGGGAATGATGAGGCACATTAACACCAAATATGTCCATCCACACAACATCTAAAATTATCCCAATAGGTATTGTATTCGGGCAAAGGAAGTCTTTTATAGTTCCATCTGAGCAAACAGCAGCCGAGATCTCTGGGGAGCAATGCCAGGCCATGACACTTTGTCATCAGCAAGAGTTAAGCTACCGGGGGGGACCATTTCAGGTCATCCATTGGATAGAACCAATTAGGAAAGAAAGGTGCCCATCTTCAAAAAGTGGCCACCTGGATTTTAAACAACCGAATCTGGCCCATTTATGATCCCCACTGCAAATTACCTTTCTCAGTCCACTTGCCTGACTCAGGAAGCCACCTATCACCAGTAAATGCTTTCACGCAAGAAATTAGGTCTTGGTGTACGGAAGTGGTAATCACTAGACTATATTCATGACTTTGAAATACACACTGGAGGAATGGAGTCAAGCAAAGGAAGGCTTGTAATGGAGTGGAATCAAGCAATGGATTGGAACTAAGGGGGACAGGATGTGAACTACAGGATCAGGCCTTCTCCAGTCCTTACATGCTAGGGGTTCAAATAAAAGCCCGGGCTACTAAAGACAAGAAGATAAGCGACGCTTTAGTGCGTCCCTGACTTCATCTGGATTTCTTCCAAAGCAAACCCTGTAAGTTTCTGAGTGCCAGTAGTTTATTTGGGACGTGATCCCAGGAAACAGAGCAAAGGAGTAGGGGTAGGAAATAGGGAAGCGAGGGAAGCCAGTGAAGGGTGCCATTAATGAGCAGGTTACTGCTATAGTAATTGGGACTCAGCTAACAGAGGCCCCTGAGACACTGTACAGAATACACCTCAGATTGCTTTACCAAGGCTCAAGGAAGCCTGGGCATTTATCCTCAGAAACTGAGAGTCACTCCTGAGGTACGAATTCCCTGGGGTTGTCCGGCCTACTGGGGCGTGTTCCCATTCCAGAGAACGCCTGCAGGCAGAGGCTAAGCCCACTGTCCTCAGGTGACCCCAGGGTGGGCCAGAGCACCAATCATCACAGTCTGCTCTAGTCAAGCACAAACACACAGAGATTAAAAAGAAAAAGAAATCACAGCCTCTACACGGGAGAGGCGAGTGGAGAATTTGACCCCGGCCAAAGTCCAAAAACACATGACAACACTTTATCACCCAGAAGGATTCCTCAACTCACATGGCAAGACAGAAACACAACTTTCCCAAATGCGTAATGAAACAGAAAAAGGGGAAGGGGGGCTGCTGGACGTGGGGTGAAGGGAAGGCAGAGACTGCCAGACAAGGTACACAGCGCGGCGCTCACAGCGCCCCAGCCCACCCATCGGGATCCTCCCCAGGGAAGAGGGCTGAAGCCAGAGACAGAAATAAATTTGTCAGGAAGGGAAGGAAATGCTGCTGGACTCAAGAGCCTCCAAAGCATTAGTAGTGATGAAATATTGGGAGAAACCTGATTTCAGATGCGTAACCCTTTAGTTAATTCCCCATTCCCGCTGGAGGCTTGGCCACAATCCTCTCACTACTCACATGGAAACTGGCCAAGAGAAACTGTCCCCAAATGATGCCCTTTGATGTTTTAATATTCTGATTCTCCAGCACACATCATCACATGAGCAGGCACCGAGGGTTCCAAAAAGAAGTCCCAAGTTTGTTTAAATTTTCTCAGCTGCTCTGTGACTCTGCCATGACCCCAGCTGGAAGATTTTTCCAGACATGGGACAGAGAGTCCCAAAGGAGGGGGAAAGGCATTGTTTCTGAGAATGTTCTGAGAACAGCTGAAGAATCAGACTGGCAGAGCACCCAAGGAGTATCAAGACTGTCTTGCCTTTTATTTTTATTTGTCTTCGTGTCTTTCCCTTCCTCCCTGACACAGGGGGAACTTGCCTCATGCTATTTAGATCCCCCCCGTGTGCAGAAAAGTCCCTGTAGTATGACAGGGGATACACACACGTTTGCTGGATTGACCTGAGCCAGACAAGCGCAACAAGCTAGGGAAGGAGGAGGGGTCCTGGGGCCTCCTGGGTGCTGCCAGCCTTGCTAAGCTCCTCAGGAGCAGGAAGAAAAGAGGGAGATGCCCAGTTCTGAGGCCCATGCCAGGCAGTGGGGATTTAGGCACAGGACGGAAGTCTGCAGTCTGTCTGCAAGTAAGGCCCCAGAGAGCCTGTGATTGGCAGGGAGCAGGCAAGCTGGTTGGGTCTGGGTGTTCCACGAGACCTCCAGGCTGGAGGGAAGAGAGAGTTCAGTGTCTGGCTACAGCATGGGGCTCCAAGGGCTAGAGTGGGAGGAGGAGGAGGCTGGTGAGCTGGCGGGGTGGGAAGAAACATGTGGGAGTCGGCCTTGACCTGGTGGTTGGACTACGTGGGAGCTAAGGTCTGCTGAGGTCACAGGCAGGGGGGCTCAGACGAAAGGTTTGCCCTGGCTCTGTGGTGGGGCAAGAGGGCAGAAGGGCCTGGAGCCCATCCAGATTCCTGAATCTGAGAGAAATGGCTTCAGACTTCTGTCAGGCGCGGGTACGACCAGCAAGGCACGTCTGGGCCTGGGTGGGGCCTGTTTGTGAGGACAAAGTAGGGGAACCACGGCATGCACTCCACGGGAATCCCCTGGCGAGGACAGTGGTAGCCATGGGCACTGTCACCTCCACCATCTGATGTGACTCTCCCAGCCCACGTGAGGGGCCACAGGGGTTCTACGCCCAGAAACCTTAAGTGGAGCCCCCAGACATCACAAGCTGGAAAGTGGCAAAGCCAAGAGTCTTTCCAACCCCAAACCTTGGGCTGTTCCCAAACCTAACAAGAGGCTAATTTCATCAGTACACAAAAAGCAGGAGCTGCTGCCCATGGCGGGGAGCTCAATAGCTCTTTGATAATGGACTGAGTGAAAGGCCAGAAAGATGGTGGCAGGTGGCAGATCTGGGAGGGGGCAGAACCACAGGGTAGAACCATCCTGGGGGCACGGGGAGGGGAGGGCGCTGGCCCAGTGTGGGAGGGGGGCCACACAAGAGAAAGGCCAGACTCAGGAGGACACCTCCTTTCCCTCCCCACACAGTGAGCTCGCTGCCAGGGAGGCCTACTGAATAAAATACAACTGAGGTCACTGGCTCAGGTTTCTGGCTGGCATTTCTAAGCATTTTAAGTGACTAGGCACAGGACAGGAAGGGTAGCACTTGGAAGATGTTTGGTTATTATTTCAGTGACAGTGAGAACAATCTGAATTTGTGTGGACCTTTCCGGCCTCCTCGTTTCTCCGACTGAAGTTGTCGCAACAGAGACGCTGAGAGAAGGACAGACAGGAATGTTGCAGGCCAGGAGAGAAGTGACAGAGGGACATCTGGGGCGCCTTCTGAACCTCTCCCTGCATGGGCCTTCCCCACCTGGCCTATTCATTACAGATGAAGAAAGCATGCTCCCCATCAACAGAAATGCACCACAAGGGGCCATTCGTGCTCTTCTGAGCAGAGCTGCTGGGGGTGCTGTGTGTTCACCATAAGGCAGGGGCAAGTGTGGGAAGGGCAGCGTCCAGGAGAGGGGCCCCGGGCTGTCCCTACCAGCTCAGGAGATCCCTGCGCAGCAAGGACACTGAGCCCTCAGGAAATTCTCCAGGACCAGGAAATAAGTCAGTGATCAGGAAGAGAACCACATGATGGGTCTCCAGAGGGACCTGTGTGGGCAAGGGGAGCATAACCTCTGGACCAGAGCGGCCGTTCAAGAGCCCACGGGGTTGGGGAGGGCCCGCGTACCCTGTGTCTGGATGGCGAATTCGCTGGCAAGGCCTATGTGAGCAGTTGCAGCCTAGACCCGGCTCCCCTAGGCCTCCTATAAAGGAAATAAATTAAACGAGGGGAAGGAGGGGGAAAGAGGGAGACTCCCTCTGGATTTTTTTTAATTGTCTTGCTGTGATTGCCTATTTAAGCCCACCTGGCAGAAAGAGGAGTAAAAACACTTCACCCTCCTTAGGGGGCCCTGAGAGACAGGCAAGCTGAAAGCTGAGCAAGCAGCAGGGAGGGGAAGCTGGGGGGGGGGGACGCAGGGGGCAGGGTGATGGTGCAAGGAAATGGTAAGGCTTCCCAGGCAAAAGATTTAGGAGAGAAGCTTGGGTCAGGTGAAGGCCATGATCAATGCTGACAGGGCCCCTGCATGTCCAGCCTTCGGGGAGGCTGGATGCTCAAGCTAGAAGCTAAAATTTCACTACATGAGGGCATGGAAGGTGATTTTCCTTATCTGCGAAATGGGCTTAATAATCACATCCGCCATCATAAAGCTGTTGTGAGGCGCCATCAAGATGGCACATTGGAAGAACTTAGACTGGTTCACCCAGAGAGACGCCACCATCATGACTGTTGTCTGCCCATCCCCCTCAAGGCATGTATTTGTACCAGTAATGCCTGTGTGTTCATGAACTGATGAAACAAGTCCAAAGGTTCATTTATGCCACGCAGCGAGGAATAAAGGATAGCAACGAGCTGCCAAAATTTCAGAGACCTGTGGCCTCCCGAGTAGAGAGATAAGGGCCAGCTTTGCGTGCAGACAACGGACAGCCAACTGCCCACTGAGTGAGATTAAAGTGGGGTACTGTAACACCCTCCAAGGCCGAAATTCCCATCCACTATTGGGCTGACCACCTCCAGACACACATTAACCCATTATTTCTCAGCAGGACCTTGGTCTGCTAGTAAAGAACAGGGACTTGAAGAAATGAGACACAGGCCAAGACACCCCGGGTGTTGAGGGGTCTCTGTGTGTTCAGCAATGGAGGAGAGTCTCTGGGTGAGGGAGGTGAACAGCCCCGGGGCAGCATGTGGGGGAAATGGTCCTAGGACAAGCCTTCCCAGTGAATTTTCCCTGGGGTCAACTGCAGAGGGCAGGAAGTCTGGAAGTAGGCTTGGAGAAAGATGGATTCTGGAGCGGGAAATATCAGAAAAGTCCTGAGGGGTACTTCAGTACCAAGTGCCTCCTTTCTCCAAGCCAGGGTTCCGTGCAGAGGTAGAGGCCCGTGGGCAGGGCTACTGAGCCTGTGTGCCAATAATAACAGTTCACACTTAGTCAAGCAGTGCTGAGTGCCTTAAACGTACCCCTCACTTAACCTTTCAACAAGAAACTATTGTTCTGTCTCTATTTACCAGGGTAAGAAACTGAAGCACAGGAGGGTAACTTGCTCAAGACTGCCTAGGTAGAAGGTGGCAAATGGAATGGATATAAGCAGAGTCTAGGTTCTTAAAGTTTATTGATTAACTGATTGAAGAGAGAGAGGGAGAGAGAGAGAAAGAGAGAGCACCAGCAGGCGGGAGAGGGAGAGGGAGAAGCAGGGGAGCCCGACCTGGGGCTGGATCCCAGGACCCCAGGATCACGACCTGAGCCGAAGGCAGACACTTAACCGACTGAGCCACCCAGGCGCCCCCCAGAGTCTAGGTTCTTAACCACAGTGCTACCTGCCTCTCAAAGACTCCAGCCTTTTTCTCCTGGAGGGCCTATGCCTGCCCTGAACCCTCACCCTTGCACACTCCTCCAAGGAGGCCTATCTTCCTTCTGGGGATTCAGAGCAACACATCCAGCCCAACACCAATGACAAGATTGCAAGTTTCTGGGATAAGACTTAGACATTCATCAGGAGGCACACACACGGTCTCAGCTACTCTGGTACCAATAACTGCTGGCTACTATCATCGTTGTCCTGTTGTTATCTGGAACTGCCATCCTAACGTGCACACTCGAGCGGCTGTTACAATATAAGAGGATTCACATCTCGGGGGCCTCTCCCTGGCCGTGTTCTCTCCACAGTGCTGATCCGTCAACTATACACACTCCCTGAAATCTGGTTCTTTACAGCCTAGTGAGTTGAATCACCAGTTTCCTGCACAATTCGTCCTCAAAACTGTCTTCCTTGATTTCTCTCTTTAGGGAGATACTCAAAGTAAGTGGACCAGAAGTGGAGCATAGGTTCTGCATTGGTGCCCAGCACGTGAACGTTTCCTGTGCTAAGAGCGAGGTCGTTCGAGGGCAGCGCAAGAGTGTGGGGATAAAAACCCCTCAAGTTCTAGAATCCACTTCAAATGTGACATGTTGGAGCAACTGCAAGTCAGTTTCACGTGGTTCTGCTTTCCCGGAAGTCACGATGTCAGTAAGCAATCAGTCAGGAGGCCCAGAAAAATCCAGTTTCTCCTGCGGGATGGACTGCTGTCTGTACACTCTCATTCCATTTCTTTTTCCTAAAATGCCATGGATTACTGGAAAGCTGTTAGCCTGTCTGTGAGTGGGTCAAAAGTCCCTGTGCTGACATACTTACTTCCCGAGAGTGGCTCCTCGCGCACTTCCAACAGGTCACCATCAGGCCCATCCAGAGCCTTGCTCATTCCGTGTGGAGACCATTCTGCACCGTCCCCTTCTCCGGAGGGCAAGCTGGGCTGCTCAGCAACAGGCGTCTCCCCTCCGGGGCCCTGGGCTGGCTCCTGGCTGCTGTCTGTCCCTGCGGGAGCACCCAGGTCCTCGTCATCCCCGCACCGGCCCGGCTCCTTTTCCGCAGCTCTGGTGTCCGCTGGGGGCCTGCTGCCTGCTGGCTTCACAGGGCAACCATACTGAGGTATGACACCGACAAATTTCAGGCCCTGACTCGCAGCCTCCTGGACCTGTGAGGCAAACAAAATGAAGGGGACTGCGTGGATGGGATGTTCTATCGAAGGGAGACATGTGCAACATCCAAAACACCTCACTGAAGGCCTCCGGGGATACTTCAGTCTGAACATGAAATCTCTCAAGGTGGCAGACGCTCCAAGTCCCCTCTAGGCAGTGGCCACACCCTAAGCCTGGCCCCACTGGGGAAAGACAGCATGGGGCTTGCTCTTTTTAACTATGAAGCATGTGGTGAGGCAGGGCTGAGATTACCTCTCTTTGAAATACTGCATTAGTTCCCTTTGGTTATTTTTTTTCTAAGGGGCTGCATGAAGGTTCTAAAGGATGAGTTGGAACAACGAGTTTGAAAGAGGAAGTTCATTTTGGTAAGAGTTTATTTTTTTCATTACTATTTTTTTTTCTGATGAATCACCGACTTCCTGCCAATCAGGCTACTGTATAATCCAGTAGGTCTATATAGCCATATACTAACTACCAGATGACATTTTATGACCGAAAGAGCTTCCTCTTTTAAACAATTGTTTTGGCAGAGAAGGGCGGAGGTGGGGAAAATCACCACTGCGTGAAAGCTGGTGTGCACATTCCCCACAGCGGGGAAATCTGACCGACACCTGCTCCGTGGTGCTCTCCGCCTCAGCCAAAGGCACCCGAAAACCACGCTGGGCCCTCAGGTGTTGCTTGGGCAGACTCGTGGCTCTCCAAGCCATGGTGCACACCATCCAGTCTCAGTCGCAGGTAACTTGCTTCTCACTTCCTGAGCCCCTGAGATGGGGGGCTAACGGCCACGCAGAGTACCGAGGTACTTTAACTCTTCCCTCCCTGACAAATACCCCAGGCAACTGAATTTAATAGTTGCAAGGGAAAGAAAAATGGAAAGTAAGAGCCTAATAAAATCAATGAAGAGCCAGCCCAAACTAGGAAATCGGCTTTATGGGACTTTCCGGGTGAGGCTGCTCAGGTCATTTCACAGATAAATCAGGAAGTGAAGACCTCAGAGTTATGTAAGTCTTAGTCACCAACCCCTGAGTGGATGACCTCAGAAAATCTTGAGGCTTCTGCAGTGGTCATCCACCGTCATTTGAGAATTAGTAAGAAACGCCCCCATGGAGCTACTCTAAGAGACAAGCAAGCCAAGGCAGCCCTCCTTGGATGAACCGCCCTAACTTTAAGCCAACGGTCATTTCAGTTCAACACTACACATTCTGGAAAGCAATCTAGAGCAGTTACAAATGTACAGTCCAGTCTTTCTATAAAGTATAGCCTGTGCTAGAAATAATGACGATAGTAGGAATTACCATCTAGTGCAGACCTGCTGTGTCCCAGGCACTGTACTAGGCATTTTCCATAAATTCTTCTGTTTAATTTTTCAAAGACCATTACAAAAAAGAAACTTTCCATGAAACAAACCCCTTTCCATTCTGAAAATTCATTTTTCGCCCATTAATCTGTGATACCCACCTACTTTTAGAAACTGTTTTGGAAAGCTTCTGAAAGAAGACACAGGTAACAAAAGTTTTCAAAAGAAAAGAGGGGGAGATAATTACTGTCCAAGAACCTTAGGTTAAGGGAAGCTAAGCTACTGCCTATGAAGCCTTGCTCTGAGCTTCCTGGCAACATAGGCAAAGCAATGGATCTTACGAATCTCAAATGAAATGAGGAAACGTGCGAGGTCCCTAAGAGAGAAGCATGATTTGCTGGTCAGGAACAGAGAAATTTGTTGTAGGACTCTTGTAGAGCCATGGAGTAAAATGTGCCTTCCTCAGTTTTACAGAAAATGAAGAGACATTTTTCTTACATCACTTATATACTCTTAACCCTTGACAGATGGCGAGGACCTGAGGCTGCGGCACAGGGGCAGAGCTAAACTGAGGTGATCCAGGGAGTTGTGGATAGCTGCACGGGTGCGGGCGTACGTCGGAGCTGGGGAACCGGGCCACCTTAGCTCTGACTCCTCCCATTCCCACCGCAGGGGACGGAGGAGACTTTTTTCTAATCTTAAATTTTCTAAATCTGTGAATTTTTTTGAATTTTTTAAAAGATTTTATTTATTTATTTGAGAGAGAGAATGAGAGAGAGAGAGCACATGAGAGGGGGGAGGGTCAGAGGGAGAAGCAGACTCCCCGCCGAGCAGGGAGCCCAATGTGGGACTCCATCCAGGGACTCCAGGATCATGACCTGAGCCGAAGGCAGTCACTTAACCAACTGAGCCACCCAGGCGCCCTAAATCTGTGAATTATTTCACACCTGACTTGCCAACGCTTTTCTTCGGAAGGGGTTTGGAAATGGGCTTTTTAAAGCTTTGCACACGTTATGCAAATTCTCAAGGCACTAAACCTGTAGTAAAAGTGAACGAAACCTAATGGCCACAAATTTTCATATGTGAGAAAATACTATTAATAATTTCCAGATGTAGCTCCTACAGGAAGGACAGTGAGCTCTCTCCCCGCAAGCTGCAGACCTCTGTTTCAGCTGTCAGGCCCCTACACTCCAGTGGGGCTCTCTCCTTCATCAACTGCAACACTGTCGGCACCTGGCCCACTTGCACCCAGCCCCTGCTACGGGTGTCTCACCACAGACAAGACACCTCTGACTACTGAAGCATTTTTAAAAGCTGGTCCCAACAAGGGCTCGACAATAGGCCTGAGTCATGGGGTTTGAAGGCAGAAAAGGCCTGGCTTGGAGCTCCAGGTGTGAGACTCTGGAATCAGAGTGTGTTATGTAACTTTCTAGGCCTCAGTTTTCTCACCCATAAAATGGGGTGGGGGAATCATACTTCTCTTGCAGTTGCTCTGAAGATTAGATGTTATATTTGGCAGGGGTGAGGAAGGAGAGAAGGTACTCCTGACCATCACTGTTGCTCTACCCCCTCTCCTTATCGATCCCGGGCTTCTGTGATCCTGCAGAGACGGACAGTCACCCAGAGTAAGGAGGCGAGGACTCTGGACACAGGGCATTATCCCAGCCCTCTCCTCCTTTACTGGATTTGAAACTGGAATCAGACATGTGCCCTTCTCCCACAGCTAACTGGACAACCATCTTCCTTGGAGCGACTATATCTCAAACTTATCCTCTATGCCAGGAGTTCCTGAAGTGGGGTCCCATATTAGCAGCATCAGCTCAGCATCACCTGGGAACTTGTTAAAAATGCAAATTCTCAGGCCTCACTGACTCAGAAACCCTGAATCAAAACCTCCTTCAGATTTGGTCCCCAAATAGGTTTTTGCCTAGCACAGTGTATTTCTGGATCATATCATGATCATGACATGAGGGTAGGGCCCAGAGACTTGTGTTTTAGCAAGGCTTCAGATGATTCCAATGCACCCCAAATTTGGGAGTCACTATTCTAGAATACACATTTCACACAGGAAGAGTTTTGTGCACTGCTATGTCCCTGGTGTGAGAACGATGTCTGACACAGAGTAAGTATCTGTGGAATGAATGAATGAATACACTAAACAATGAGTGAATTATGTATGTCTCCTCTCCCAGAATGAGCTCCTTGAAGGTAGGGATGGAGACTGCTGAATCTTTCAGCTCCCAAATTCAACACACTGTATTAAGTTCCTACACTGGCCCAGACTAACATTGTATTTAGGTGCTGGGGGTACAAAATAGGAATCCCAACTCTCAAGAATATTCAGCCAATTATTATAAACAGACTTTAAAAACAATTATGCCAACATGGCACAAAAATGCTTATTTTATAATGTTATGTTAAAAAAGATCAAGATTCTAAACTTTATAGACACAATATCATGACAACTATGTAATATTTCTATTAGTGTGTAATTCTTCAAAATTTATCTAATGAGTATGCATATTACTTTTATAATAACTTTTTCAATTTATAATTGAAAAAAGTAAATACTCCACAAATTTCTCATAGAGAATGATAAATACATTATATAAATATATAATGGATATAAAGGCATAGAAATGACAGTAATTATTTCTGCCTGAAGGGGAGGCTGAAAAGTTTCTGACAGGTCAGAACTGTAACAAATGAAATAATGTAATACAACAGGAAGAGGTGAGGAGTGTGACAGAATTGGAGTGTGTATGCTTCACCTTAAACAGTCAAATTCAATTTTTTTTTTCCAAAATACTGTGCTAGGCAAAACCTATTTAGGGACCAAATCTGCAGGAGGTTTTGAAGGATGAATAGGAGTTCACCAGATAGGTGAAAGAAAGGAAGAACGGCAATGCAGGTAAAGAGAAAGAAGGATCATCATGGGCAAAACTTGATGGTATGCAACATCCTGATGTACTGAAGTAACTTCTATACACGAATATATCGGGATCATGACAAGAGAAGCCAGGAGTGGGGGTGGGGACTGGAAATCAGAAGGGCCATATCGTGGATGTCACTGAATGGCATGCCAACAAAGGCTGTGACTTCACCCTGCAGGCCAGCATATTCTCCAACTTTCCCACTGCAGTAACTCCAAGAGCAGAGAATGGAGGTCTGAGGGCAAAGCACAAGATTTCTTTGAATGCTCATCTTTTATCTGAAACACTAATGAGAATTTTGTACCCTGCACCATAGTACTATACAATATCAAAACTTTTAAAAAGATGCGAAAGTTAAATGCCTCCCTCCCACCTCCATCCCAAGCCTTCCAGAGAAACTCATGTCTCAGGAATATGAAACGTATGCAAATACGCATAAATCTTTGTAGCTCTGCTTACTTCCTTTGGGTGGATTCCTGGAAGAGGAATTAATGGGTCAAGAGATATTAACTTTTCAAAGGCTTGATACAGGCTGCCAAATTGTTTACCAGAAAGGGGGAGCAGTCCTTTTTAACCAGAGGAACCGCATTTAGATTTTATAAAGATCAATATTTGGCTAGACCCTAAGGGCTTTGACTCTTCTAACTAGTACAGCACTTTCTCTTTTTCTCTCTTAAGGTCATTTGACTGTGTTTGTTATATGGACCCCTGTTTCTCATTCACTCATTTATTCATTTGTTCATTCACAGCCTTTATTGAGCAAATC